TCGAGAGAGGACGATAAGCTATCGCGGAAAATCGGTACGCGACGTGTTTATCGTCGGGCGAATCGCACAGCCACGCACGCCACGATGAACCGCCGTGCTCGGCGGAATCGTGTTCTCGCCGGGAGTTGGGTGCGACAAGCTGTTAATTATTAAGAAAAAATCGATAATGGCGCGCGGCAGTGCGATCCTAACCTAGGTGGAGCGCGCGCCTTGGCGGCGCACGAAAAAGGAGAGGTAAGAGGTGTAAGGTACATAGAGCGTGCAAAAGGGCCGAATGGATGGACGTGACGCGGGCGCAATCAATCATTCGAGGGATTTACGGGCCTGCAAAGAATGAAGAGGCGAGGGTACACGAGAACGTGCACATGCGAGTGTGTGTCTGTGCGTCTGTGTGTACGTATGTACGTACGTACGTGCATATACGCGCATATACGCGCGTGCTCGCGCGGTGCACAGGCCAGTCGGCCGGGGCTGTTAAGAAATTTTCGATGATGAAACACTTGCGCGGCCGCGCGAGAAGGAACGGATCGTTGTAGGCATTTAGATGATTCCGAGAGATTAGCGGATACGTGTATAGGTCGGTGAAATCTTGTCTCGGAGAGAACGCGCACCACCTTTGCGCTCTCTCTCTCTCTCTCTCTCTCTCTCTCTCTCTCTCTCTCTCTCTCTCTCTCTCTCTCTCTCTCTCTCTCTCTCTCTCTCTCTCTCTCCCCTCTGTCTCGGTAGGCTTAACAAAAGCCCCTGCTAACGCCGCTGACACGAAGCGACGGGTCGCTCGAAGATTAAGATAATTGTGCCTGTCCGGCTCGCGCGCTCGGAAACGCCGGATAAACGCGGTCTCGTAAAAACGTGCAGCACGGTGACGCGTGGGTGGATCGAAAATAGAAACGCTGTCGGCGGCCGGTGCGCACCGCGGCGGTGCGTATCCAACGACGGTCGTCGGGAAGTCGAGCGAGTCGCGCCTTGCGAGTGAGACGAGTGCGGTGCCGGGAGAAAAGCGATTGAAGCGTTGATCGCCGCGTTGACGAGGTTGGAGAACCGATCCGACGCCATTTGAAAACTAGCGTGTCGCTTTTTGATACACTCATTAATCATTTATTTTATTTTGCTTCTTATTCACGGGATCTCGCCCATTAGTGGTCATACAAAAGTGGTCATAAAAAGTCCGTGATATATTGGTACGGCGCGCATGAAAACTTTATGTGAAACATTTTATGCAATCATATTTAATATTTGGCAAAATTTGCTGGAAGATAAAAAGGAAAACTTGTGCGGGTTAATTCGTAGCTATGGGAGAATTTTCTTCGCACGCTGGCTACGGGATAAGGCTAGACTCGCATTTTTGCATAGGAGTAGTCGCCTGTCACACGCTTTACTTCTATTTGAAAAAAGAAAGAAAAAAAGAATGACGACCTGAACGGAAACCTGCCGTCGTCTGGACGGTTATAACGTGAATCCAGGCTGACTCGCATTAGACAGTCAATGCATTGATCACGCGGTGACTTATTGTTGCATTGCGCAAGTCGCGGATACGTATTACCGCTCGGTAAAATATATCAATTGCAGCGAGCCGTTAATGGATACATTTCGCGCGCATTCAATATCGCGCTTGATAATCGAGCGCGGTATTTGGAGCCTATATTTACGGGAAAATTGATCGATCGCCGCGCGGAGCGGAGGCGCGTCTCGAGTGTCGAACGTTCACTTTTCACCGCGATGGAAGGTGCGAAGGCGCGGAGCGTTCTCTCCTCTCCCGCTAAACACGCCGTGGACCCCGAGCGGGGAAAAAGTAAACGCATTTTCCGATCACGACGCGGTTCTCTGTCGGCGTATGCCGCCACCTGCAGCAACGTCGGCTCGACGGATTACACACAAAGCCCCGATCTCATTTTTTAGGGCGTGGGTGGCGCAGTCGCGTTCCAGCGTGCGTTTGCATTCTCGCTCGCTCGCGCGCGCGCGCGCGCGCGCGGCACCGTTTGTTTTTACAAACGAAAGGACGTAATCATAATGGGCGACTTCCACCTTCGGTCAGCTTCTACCTTGGCCGAATTCCATCGAACGCCTACTTCCTGTCGAGCCTCTGAATACAATCTACTGCACTCTGGCGTGCCACGATTTCCCCCTGCTCTTCCGCGCTCTCCATCCTGCCCTCCTCGCGCGGTCCCTTTGTCGCTGAGCCTCTCCTTTTCTCCCGTTTCTCTCTCTCTCTCTCTCTCTCTCTCTCTCTCTCTTGCGCGCGTCGTTACGATTATTTTCTCTTGCGGTTGTAAATTTATAAAGTCGACCGCGTAACCGCCGGCTGCCTTTGTACGAGCCTCGTCGTGGAGAGAGTAGCTCTTTTAAACATCCTTTCGCGTATCGAGCGCGACCGAAACGAGACACGTCCGTCTCTTTGTTTCATGAGCGAATGTGACATTCCTATCGCAACGACGACGACGACGACGACGACGACGACGGAACGAACGGCTGACGCTTGAGAGCAATAACTCCCGTCTCTTTTTGCGACGAATGAAATTTTGCAAATAAATCTTCCGTAGATGCTCGTATTTTTAGAACGCGCGGTTATAATGCAGACGTACATTCACCGCATTGTACATATATACGAACAATTGCAGTCTTTGATCATAATTTGCGTCACGAGGCTGCCCTTATGGGTTGCCTATCCGCCGCAACATCCATCGTTCCACCGCGTCATGCGCCGTTCTGTCGGATGAGAAGCCGCGTGATAACTTTATGAAACAAAACTGGACGGGCACACAATGGTGCATACATTTTTGATTTTTGATCTTGTCGGCATTTTTATCATCGACGAAAGAGTGTTGTACACAAGCGCAATTCGTAAGTCGAAGAGAGCAAAAGTCGAAGGAGTAATGACGCTTAATTAAATTATTCAATAAAAGGTATTTTCTTCTAAAGAAGAAATCCATCATCGCGATATCATTCTACATTTACTTTAAACATATTTTTAATTTGAGATAATGTGACGACCAATTTATTATATAATGGAGGTTGCTGATACCTGCGAAATGAAGAAATTATTTCTCATTAGGTAATATAATTGTACAATTTCAAGCGTCGACGAGTTTTATAATTGAATGATATTATCAGACTTTCAACTACTTATCCCGAAATATAAAATCTTGATTAAATATTAATAATTTCGACGGAAGCGGCAAATATTAGACGAAATATTAGACGAAAAGTGTTATTTTCAAATAATACAAATACGCGACACACTTTTCTCATTGATCGTTTGTACACCCAACTTTCCAACATCATTCGGGATCGGTATGCGAGATAAAAGAAAGCATCTATCGCGTCTAGAGTCAAATCGCCTGCTGTCAGTTAAAAGTGGAACAAGAAACAGCGCGAGGACGAAGACGAGGAAGGAGCAGACCGAAGGAAGTGGAGGCTGTCGAGAAACGTTTCTTCCCACGACGTGGTCCCAGACATTTGGTCCAATAATAACACTAATTTCGTCTACCGGGGAAACCTATTGTCCGGTCGATGCGTCTACAGCGGATGCAGCCCTTTTATTGTACGACGACGACTACGACGACGTAACGTACGACAACGACGACGACGTAGATGTACATGCGTGGGGATGTATGAAATACGTCGGTTCCACGGGCCTTCACCTTCCGGTTTCGACCGTAGATTCGTTTCGTTATAAAAGATCGAAACTCCTCCTTGATACTGTGTAACGTATGGCCGGACGCGACGGCGCGGCGGCCTCAACAAGATAAATAGCGAGCTCAAAGATTCCGTCGAGAGTCCAGGTGTTCGAAAAGAAAATCGCTCGCCTCTTGTCTCGGACGCTTAGTGAATGATTTTGTCCAATTAACGTACAAAGGCTCGTACAATTATGACCCATCGCAATTCTCCTTCGTTATGGACATGTGATAGTCAACTGGGACGACTGTTTAATGTCAGATCGCTATTACATCATTATTCTCGTCGATGCTTTTTTACGAGAAAAAATCATTTTCATACGATCGAAAATTTTGTGATAATGTATAGATATTGCAGAAAACACATCTTTTCTTGGAATTGTGAGACAAATATTCTTTTTTTTTTTTCTTTGCTTGTTCCCCCCTGTTTCTTTTTCCTTTTCTAAAGAATGCCGTCGACCTGTTGTGTATACCTTTGAAGAAAAGCACACAATTGTAATAAAAATATTAAATTTATTCTTGCTTCTAATACTTAACCATTCATATCTTTTAAAAAAGGTGCGTGAAACCTCGATCTCGAATATATCGAAGCGAGTGAAGAGAGAGAGAGAGAGAGTGAGAGAGAAGGAGAAAGAGAGAGAGAGAGAGAGAGAGAGAGAGAGAGAGAGAGAGAGGATGAGAGAGAGAGAGAGAGAGAGAGAGAGAGAGAGAGAGAGAGGATGAGAGAGAGAGAGAGAGAGAGAGAGAGAGAGAGAGAGAGAGAGAGAGAGAGAGAGAGAGAGAGAGAGAGAGAGAGAGAGAGAGAGGATGAGAGTTGAAGAGAAAGAAAATGTGAGGGAAAAAGAAAGAGTAAGGGAAAGTGATAGAATGATGGTGAGAGGAAGGGAGGGAGAGGGAAGAGATGGAGAGAGAGAGAGAGAGAGGAGAGGGGGGAAAGGGAGGGAGGAGTGAGGAGGAGGGAACGGAGAATCAGCTTCTATATTCAGGACCGTCTTGAATTCATCTTTAAATGCTTTTTAGCCAATAGAACGATGCATATAGCATCTGAAGATGAACTCAAGATGGTCTGGAATAGAAATGTTAAACGTCGAAATTCATTGGTTATATGGTTACGCGTTACTATGCAGAAAATATGGAATTTCAAACTGTATGCTCCTAATACATCGTATGTTGGAGTCGGATATTATTAAACTTATATTACACTATAGGGATTATTTTTATGATTTATAATATTTATTCTAAACTTTAATATGAATAAGCTAAAATGACGCGCGCGTAGCGCGCGCTTGTAGTGTTTTAGTTGCGTATGAAAATCCGAAATGAGCATTCGGAGCGTTGAAAAACAATAACGTTCACAGTAAGGTCAACGGTGAGGAAAACGATGTGTTTACGTTTCAAAGATAGAGACGCGAACCATAACAGATAAAAACGATGTCGCGCGATGAAGGTAGTTAGTTGCTGTTGAACGCCCGAGATAGACGTGCCATCGCCACTCGCGCAGAAAGTTGGTGAGTGTTAATCAAATCATTGTTTTCTAATATTCATCGTATGATCATTGTTCCCTTTACGCAATTAGCTGACTTCTTAATTTCGAATACCGTGCGTCGCGTCGTGTGTTTTCCCTTCGACATCGGTCCGATTCAGATGTTTTCTTGGTCGCCGCCGTGCGTTTTCCCGGGGGGCCCGGTATGACCTAAGTGATCTGAGCCAGCAACTGAGAGGGACATCTCGTGTGCTTTCCCTTGATGTCCATTGTACATCTTGGTGCTGAATGGTGAGCTTTAGGCTGGGATCCGTTGGTGATTTCCTCCATTTTCTCTTGGAGATCTCCGACTGTTCGCCATCGGTTCGAGTGTGCGCATACCCATTCGGACCGCCATTTTTAATCAATTATCGCGTGAGGTAATTGCGCGAAAACCTGACTCGAAGATGTTCTGGCACTCGGTGCGTCTCCGTATCCCGCTCGAGCTTCACCGACGAGCGTCTGAATTATATAATCGTTATGCTATTTATTGTTTTCTTTGTGTTTACTACCTCGAACTGCTCGTCTATTCATTCGGCTCTTAGTGAGTATGCATAAGGCAAATGAACAAAGAAAAGAAGGTCATGTCTATAGGGACTCGCTCCCATGTTATTTGTACATCCTATACGTTACTCTTACAGAATATACGAGAATATACATAAATTTTTCTTCTTCTAGAAAGGTATCACGAATACAAATATAATAAATCCTCCCTAATTTTTCAGACGCTCTTTAAACGATTTTATAGCTTTTGTGTTATTTTAGCTTATTTATAGACTCGTAATAAACGACTATAAAAGCTATACATAATTATAACTCTTAAAATATGACTATAACTAAATTATGGTACTGAAAAAGAAATTCATTAAAATTATAGGTTTGTGAATCGGGAAGCCGGGAGAGAAAATCCGGGACACGAGAGACGATACATCTCTATAAGTCATCAATACCAACACAATCAACAAAACCAGCAGAGTAAACTGCCGTCAACGGCCAATCATCGTTATACGACAACAAAGCCAGCGCATCAAAACAATCGACGACGGTCCAAACATTCCGAAGGTAAGAAGCAGTTAACCCATTCCCCATTATCCTTTTTATTTATTATTTAATATTCGTTTTTATCTCACGTATTCTATTTTCGCTAAGTAAGTCGTATAATTAATACATTGCCCAAGTTATATATTATCAATACATTGCTGATTAATACATATAATTAATTATATATTGCTAATTGAAGTGAAGAGGATACAGATGAGACGCGAATGAACAATATTGAGATAACCGAATATTAAATAATTCTGAAACGAGTCTTTCTTGAGGACTCGACATGCACGTAAATAAACGAGTAAATATATGTAATATATATGTAATATGAAGGTAAGAACGACAAATATACACACTGAATTTTGACCTTCTCCATTGATCTTTCAAGTTCAACGGAATTTACAGGATTAATGCAGAACTCAAATTTCCACTCAGAATAGCGTCCAAAGTTTTTTATGTGTATGGTACGAGCCGGCCTTACGAGTCCTCCTTAATTATGCTCGTCGGCGAGACGCCGACGAGATTCCAACACGGTACTCGTGCCGGAAGTCATACGCTTTGTAAATACCTATAGTAGAAAGCTCGCCAACATTCCACATCGTCGCCGAAACAGAGAAACGCACTCTCGATCGACGACGACGCATCCTGCACGCGAACCGATCGCGCAAACGATCGCAGGCAAACGATTTACACGGTACAGCCTGACAAATAAGCGGATAATTAAGATTTACAGTCCAGTCAGTGTAATTTTATGCATCACAGGTGCGCCGGCGAAAGTGCCGATAGGCACCGGCTCGTAAGTCGGTAACGTTCCATACACATGTCACGTGGAATCGAAACTAAACAGTAAAATATAGTCTTTTATTGTCTGCCGTACAAGATGGCTGAAATATATTTAAGAGAGTAACAAGAGATAAAAAATAGAAAAGGGATGAGCAAAACGGTTTCTTTTAGCGACAATATAAATTTACACCTTCACAGAGAGAATATTATAGTTCTTTCATATATATTTTTAATTTTGCCATGATTTCTACAGTATAAGAAACAGATTGTTAGCGGAGTTTCTCTCTCGCTAAGGAATAAAGTAAATTTTTCGATAAATTTCAGTTCTTAAGATACTCAAAAATACGTATACGAAGAAAGCGAATTGAGATAGAAAATTAATAACATTATAACAATAATAAATTAAGAGATGTCGACATATTCCTCGGTAACAGAATTCTCAACAATAATAATTTTCACTATAAAATTCTCTCCGTATTGAGGTGACAAAGTTGAGTTGACAGAGAGAATTTTTATTGCCAGTTGACATTACATTGGCATTTTACAAACATTTGACATTTTATTGAAAAGTAGCATTGTACAAAAACTCGCTTCAAATTCTTATAAATAAAGTATGGTAGAAATAATATTGATATATTACTGTACTGATGTCGCGTGTTGATCGATTTCATAAAAATGTTGCTCTAACTCGATACCCGCGATATTGTGAAACAACACACTCTAAAGACGCGATGCACAATGCGTCGTTTAAGAGTTCCAACAAACGAGTCTCGCGATGCAGTCCTGATTCCGCGATTATCGGGCGTATATCGTCACAGTGTGTTACGCGCTCTCCGGCGTAATGACAGAGTCCGCGATGAAAATGTTCCGGTATCGGCGCGAAAGCTGCGCGGAGAACGGATTTTCCCACGAAATCTCTCGCTGCGTTTCCGCAAATGGACTTTCAGACCTTCTCGCCGCGATAACACCGCACGCTCCGTTTCAATCTCCCGCGCGACGCGCTGCGTGTAGCATCGCGTGGGTATTAACGACGGTGGGAGACGCTGCTCGAGGAGAGGGGGAGACGCCGATAAAATCTGGGCCATTAGAGCACCTCTTTCTGTCATTGTGTATTTTCCACGCTGACGCGGCACGCTGGCGCGGCATACTATCGTCTTTTCCCCTCGCCGTTCATTTACCGCTTCCGGCCTTCACCTTCGGTGACGTATCTCTTTCTCTCTCCTTCTCAGTTTACGACTTCTCGCGAAGTCTTCTTCGGTGCACTTTACTCCGGCGTCTGGCATAAAACACTTCTTTCGTCGGTTACACATCGCGTGGAACGTTGCCATTCGTTATGACTGGCATTTTTCCTAAACCCGAACTCGAGACATACGCGTGCGTGTCCGTCTCTGTCGTGCGACTTCCGTTCGTCGCGCAGGGAAGAAAAGCCTCTCTCTCTCTCTCTCTCTCTCTCTCTCTCTCTTTCTCTCTCTCTCGGATATTCCGACTTCCTCTTCGCGCACTCGGCCAATTTATTCACTGCAAGTACCGGGGTGTAATCGCTCATTCAATTACCATCACCTATATCGGCTTTACAATTTTTCCGAGAAGGCGTATCAACGTTCTCTCTCCTTCCCCTCCCCCCCCCTCTTTCTCTCTCTCTCTCTCTCTCTCTCTCTCTCTCCATCTCTCTTCTCTTCGCTTCTCTTCCCTGTCGTTCCCCCTCGTTCTTTGAGAACACAAACGAGCCGCAAGCAACGCCTCGCGCCTTCGCTTTCATCTTCCGCCTGAGATCCATCGCAGAGTGTATCGTTTGCTCTCCTTGCGGGCAATATTCCACGAACATTATCGCGATCGTCCTTCTCGCGCGGATATTAGATACAGGTCTCTTAAGCACGAATTTCCGCGCAATTTTACACTCCGGGAATTGTACGTCGATGGTAAACGCGCGTGAGAGAAGAGATAGGCGGATAGATGCAGAGTGAGAGAGACAGAGAGAAAGAAAGAGGACGAGAAAGCCTTCGACAATGGCCGGGGCGAGGGTTTCCAAACGCGAACGCGATAGGTGGGAAATAACCTTTTGCTGGAAATTAAAGTCATGGGAAGCACGGCCGGCCGGCCGGTCGCGGCCGGAGTAGAATTAGTATTATAAATCGCGTCGCGCGCGCGCGATAATCTCTCGCGGCTCGGGGCACCTTCTTTGTTTCTTTGTTTATCATTACTCGGCGCGATCTCTCTCCACTTGGTATGCTCACGCGCGCTATCTCCAGATCTCCGATCTCCGCGATGCGGCTTTAATAAATACAACTCCGTTCGGCGTTCGTTCAGCGTTCGCCTCACTGTCATTCTCCTGAGTAATTTCTTCCTGTTGATCGCAGATAAGGAAGCGATCGGTTCATACTGAACCGGCAGGTTGCCTGCCGTGTTTTGACCGGGTTGATAGCCACCAGATAACCAGTTAGAATGAGACGTTACAATGATACCGCTCGGAGCTATGAGGAGAGAACGAGCCGGTGTGAATACGCGTATTATGACTAAAGTTTCTGTTCCTGTCCGTCGTCGGACATGCGAGACTCGTAATGCGTTTACCGCGCTCGAACCGCGGACGCGACCGACTTTATGACCGTAAGAAAGACGTTTCCTCGACGCCTTGGCGCGTTCCTCAAATCACCGCAATCAAGAGGCACGGTAGTACCTCGCGCCAAGTTCAAGCGCAACGAAGTTGCGCCCGAACGACACCGAAGCACCACACCGCGTGCCTATATTACGCGAAACTGCGAGTTGAAACGAGGTGAGATATTCATATCTCAGTAATGGTTAAACCGATCGAGGTTTTTTCAGTCCCAATCGATTCGGCCTTAAAAAATAGGAAGAAAAGTGTCCTTGTGCTTTTTGTGTACTTTGTCTCTAAGTGTAGATATTTTAAAATAAAGTCCAAATCATGGAAAATCTCGATTCGGTAAGAAAGTAAGAAACGTTAGACCGCAGAGGAGGGGATTTGTGCATCTCCCTTTTCCGATAACAGAGGCGTTACAAGCGCGCTGAAGAAGCAGTGAGTGCGAATAAGCAAGCGATAGAGAGTGAGAGAGAGAAGAATATTGCTAGAATATAGAAGCAGAAATGTGCGAGAAAGAAAAAGACAGCGAGAGCGAGAGAAAGAGAGAGAGAGAGAGAGAGAGAGAGAGAGAAGCCAAAATTGTTTGCATTAAATATTTTTTATTGCATTGTTATATTAACTAATTTATTATAATAACAAGTACTTTTTGTTACAGATCTGCTGGAGTTTGCGGCCACGCGAAAGCTGCGGTTACCGGGACGCAATTTCGACGGACGCCGATGCCGCACCGGAGGATCCGGTTCGGGCCGAGCAGAGTCGGCTTGAAGGTGAGGTTCACCGATCGTTTGTACATTTCTTCTTGATTCATTGCGATCGAAAACCGAGCGATTGGAATAAAAGCCGTTGAATTACAATGGCAAAGGATCAACGTTTGTATCTGCGCGCGCGCTTCCGCGAATTGAACTCAACCTAATCTAACTTTTAACCTAACGGTTTAACTAACGAAACTATATTTTTTGTTACAGATCCGCAGCAGAACGCGGCTGACTCTGTCTGCTGTGTATCGGTGAGTCAGAGAAAAAAAGACTTGTTTATAAAAATTTTTATGGTGATGGGTGTTTGCAATATCTCGAGAAAATTAATGCGATTTAATTATACTGTTTTCACACGTTGCTCGAAATAATCAGGAGATCGTGTCCTTCAATGACCGTATTACACAACAGAATTTTTATGATATAATATATATTTCTCTCTTTTATATTTATTCTGAATCATTAGAAGATACAGATATAAATGCTTTAGTTTGTTATTATATTGAAATCAAGATATGGAATTATTTGCTGCGATTCAATTAATATAACTCCTGCTTCGAGTAGTGTGTGATGTTAAAATTTGATCAGAATTGCGCCATCGCACGTGAAATTCTTCATTACTTATCTTATTTGGCTTGATAAATTTTATGTCCGTCGAGTTTATCAATTTTCTACGCGTACATTCTACATTTTTCACGCGTGTCAGAAGCGATAATATTTCATTTGAAATGACCGATAAATTCGGTACGCGCGTTTATTTACATTACAACTTGGTCCTTACGAAACAGGACGTGCGTTTCTTTCGAATTATCGTTCGCGAAACAAAATATTTTCGTTTTTCTCTCTTGTCTAAACGTCGTAATTTTCATTGGCGATTGATTCTACGCGAATCGCGTCTCACGTATACATTCTCGGAACGTTGCAGTATCGTGTTTACTTCTTATTGAGATAAAAATCTCATCCCTTGAACGCGACCATATATGCTTCTTTGTCTCGCCATTCTTTTTTCTTAAATCCCATCGAAATTAATGAAAGAGAAAAGATAAACAAAAAGAAAGAAAAAAGCGACAAAATATTGTGAAAAGAGAGTTCCTCTTTTCATTCGTCCTGGATGCTGAGGAGACTGGACATTGGACGGATGCAGAGTCACAGGAGTCAACGAAAGTCGGTGAGTGTGCAAATCAAACGCAAAGAAAGTGTCATAATTTGCAATGCATGCTCATATATAAATCGCATTGGTTTTCCGCCAGAAATAATAAAAAATAGTGCGCGATAATATGCGTTCATATTTAGTTTAATATATAAAATTACGTGCGAAGAAAGAAGTGCGACATATTGTTATTTGGAGTTCTCGTGAGGTTCTTGCGAGGTTCATTATTTTCAATGTTCACCCGAGCTGTGAGATAGATAAACAATATATTTTCCAATGTGCTATTTGGGGTGTTCAACTTCTACTATTGATTAAAGAACAAAAGCATCGTCTGCAGACTTTGAAATGCGTTTTATTTTGAAATGATTACTTACGGGTGCTTTTCATTCGCATTTCTTGATTTCACATCTTCTTCCTTCAAATTTTCCTGTCCTAATGTCATTGAAAGTATTATTCGAGTATCAGCAACGTTGCTATCGAGTGAGGAAGATCCTCCCCCAAACTATCGCCCAAACTCAATTCTGTCGATTTGACAACATTTCTTTCGCTTGTGCGATTTTATATCTTACAGCGCGAAAGATGCCGGTGCACTCGGGAAGCGCGTCGTGTTGTTCGAATCGAACGACACGCGTCTTTCCTCGATACGAGTATAAAAAGAACAATTGACGGAGAAAATGTACGATCGAATGAAGGAAACCGAAAGTAAATGAGTTAAATGGACGAAAATTAAAGTAAGATATAAAATGGGCGTGACTTTTTCGTTCGTAGAATGTTTAAGAAAGAAAAATCCGTATCAACTGGCGACGATGAGAGAACAATAGACAAAATAAGCGCGAGGTGACGACTCGCCGCCGCCGCCGCCGCCGCCGGTTTGTGGCAAATTTCACGTCGTTATTTCCGGATTAAGAACACGAGAAACAGAAAAGAGATCGCGGGGATGTACGGCCGCAAGAGCGAGCAATTTAGTCGCGTCGCGGTGATAGCTTGCGCCCGCGGCGGCTTCGGCCTCGCCGCAAGGCGACACAGGACGAGAGCGGCTATTGCGATCGCGGATATTGCAGCTATTGCACCTGATAACGCTAGGAATCCCGGTAGCCCGGCGAATTTCAATCTCGCGGGTTACTTTTGCCTTGCACGGCCTGTCAACGTATTTCCAGCGCACCGCGCGAGCCGCGCGCTGCCTTCCGCAGATATCATCGCGCGGCCGGGCGATACGTAAATTACCGGCTCATTTTGAGCAAGCTGGTCATGCGAGCGAAGTAGAATTGGCTCATGCCTTCGCCGCCGGCCGTTCCGTACGTACGTCGTCCTCGCCTCGCCTCGCCTCGTCTCGTCCCTCTTTACCTCCTCCAGGAACGTTCATGCATTAATGTCGCGGCACACGCACGCACACGGATCCTAGCGGCTCCGTCGCCGCCGCCGCCGCCGCCGCCGCTCGTCCATTTCCTGCTAATTAAATTAGCGTATCGGCCGTCGTCCAGTGTATGTACGTGTGCGTACGTGTGTGTGTCATGAGCGACCCGGGAGCCGCGTTTCTCCCGTGAGTTTAACGACCCCCGTCCCCCTGGCCCCTCCGTCTCCGCCTCCCTCTTCGTCTTCATCAGTCGACGCCGCCAATTCCCAGGAGCCTCGTATCGGTCGCGACCGTTGTTCTCATTAGGATAAAACATACGAGTCGAGCGGTTAACCGAATTACCGATCGCGTTACCGCGAACAGCCACCGCGCGACGTTCCGGGTTGACTCTTGGGTGCATCGGCGCGAATTCAAAGAATGCATCTACCGCTTCTCTCTCTCTCTCTCTCTCTCTCTCTCTGCTCACCGCGCTTTTCTTTGCGAAAATGTCACGAGTCCCTACGGTTGAATTTCTTTTCCCTCGGCGACCTATACGCATCAGGTCGTTGCAAAGAAAACGACCGACTCTCTTTTAGGCCGTCAGAGGCGCAAAGTTCATTCGTAACGGTGCGATGTTATGATCATTCAAGGTGGTGACAGCAGTTTAACGCATTATGGCTCTCGTTTTGGCGGTCGAGAATTAATCGACAACGCGTAAAGTACAAGTTACAAGTGGATCGCACGATGTAACAACAAGCGCCTGAATGATTTTCACAGTGCGACTCGCGGTTACCTTGGAGCAAAATCGCGCTCAAACGACGGGAGACGGCACTTTCGACCTGGTAACAAACCAAGCGCCCATCGTGTCTCCCATGACACGCTGGTGGCTCAATAATTTAATACTTGTTACGATACGTACATATACACCGGAATTTATCGCGCGAACCAATAGCGACCGCAAATCGCGTTAATCCGGCAAACACGTTCAGCAGGCCTCCTAATGCGTATCACGGCCACATCGATATACGGCCTCATTCTCCTCTCTCTCTCTCTCTCTCTCTCTCTCTCTCTCTCTTTCCCTGTAGCGCAGTGTGAGATCGCGCACGGAAACCACTCCTGGAGCATCTACCTACCTGCCTACCTGCTTGCCTACCTACTCGCGCAATTTCGATCGCGCAATTGCGCTGACACGGGATGCCGCTTCTACCGTGCCTTCTCGCTGCGTCCGCGATTGAGACCCGCGGTAGCGGGTATCGCGGTAGCCGATCAAATCGCCGAAATCCCTCTCGGCAGCGGGCAACACACGCGATCCAAAGCGATCATTAGCGTCGGCATGTCGACGACGAGCGCGATTGCCGGAATCTCGCGCGGCGGCTTGGAGCGGCGCGCTCGAGCGAAAGCGTCTTGCTCGTCTAATTGCGATCGCGGTGCAAATGGGACGGGCATGCATCGGAACGGATATACGTGTCGTCACTGTGCCCAGAGGCGGACAATCGGAAGGATTGTTTCCAAGAAGGCGGCGTCTCTCGTGTACGTAATTGCCGCGGCGTGCGCGACCGCGAGGCGCGCGGACGTAATAAGGAAACGATTAAAATAATCGGCATAGCGACCCATTCAAGTATTATAGAGATCGTCGCGCAACCGATTTTTACGCTGACACCACATACGTGTGTACGTACGAGAGGCGGCCGCATAAAGCGCCGGTGTGAAACGCGGAACCCCGGCGAATCCGGTCAGAGGCTCGCTACGGTTTCTCCATGCGCGCGCGCGCGCGCACTATGCTAATAACTTCTTCGCGCGACTTCCTAGTTGATTTCGATTCGCCGTCAGACACCGAGAGAAAGAGAGGAAAACCATAACGCGGGGACGGTCATAACTCGGCGGACTTTTCCAACGCGGGTAGCGGCGGAATTCCGCCAATTGTCTCTCGCCGACCTAACACGATACGAGAAACTTGATATTCGCCAGAAATTCAATATTCGTCGGCCGTGAGACGCGCGATAAGATCGGTCGTACGAGCTGTACGCGCGCGCGCGCGTGTTACTTACATGCGTGTTAAGCCACGTTCTCACGTGGGATAAAAAAGAGAGGTAATTATCATATTTAGAGGCTGATTCTCGAAAGCCGCGAGGGGGATTACGGGGGACGAGCGCGTCCGCGAGGTTGTAATTTATCCCGACGTGGAACGCGCGGAACAAAGGGATTCTGCTGAACAGGTCGCCGCAGTTGGTTAAATGAACAACGGGCGCTCCTCCTGCCCACCTCCCTCGCTCACTTTGCCGACCTGCGAGCTATTTTTAGCAACGCAACCGACGAATCGCCGTCGCAGTTGACAGAGTCGCGAGCGAAACGATATTATCCAAGGTCGCGATCGGCGCGAATTACGTTTGCGAAGCGTCACCACCGCCACCGCCGCCACCGCCGCCGCCGCCGCCGCCGCCGCCGCCGCCGCCGCCGCCGCTATTAGGCGCGACACGCAGGTTATCACCGGAAGTTACCAACTAAGGAAAACTCGGCGCATCG